TACTTACTTATTACTTACTTACTTACTTACTTACTTACTTACTACTTACTTACTTACTTACTTACTTACTTACTTACTTACTTACTTACTTACTTACTTACTTACTTACTTACTTACTTACTTACTTACTTACTTACTTACTTACTTACTTACTTACTTACTTACTTACTTACTTACTTACTTACTTACTTACTTACTTACTTACTTACTTACTTACTTACTTACTTACTTACTTACTTACTTACTTACTTACTTACTTACTTACTTACTTACTTACTTACTTACTTACTTACTTACTTACTTACTTACTTACTTACTTACTTACTTACTTACTTACTTACTTACTTACTTACTTACTTACTTACTTACTTACTTACTTACTTACTTACTTACTTACTTACTTACTTACTTACTTACTTACTTACTTACTTACTTACTTACTTACTTACTTACTTACTACTTACTTACTTACTTACTTACTTACTTACTTACTTACTTACTTACTTACTTACTTACTTACTTACTTACTTACTTACTTACTTACTTACTTACTTACTTACTTACTTACTTACTTACTTACTTACTTACTTACTTACTTACTTACTTACTTACTTACTTACTTACTTACTTACTTACTTACTTACTTACTTACTTACTTACTTACTTACTTACTTACTTACTTACTTACTTACTTACTTACTTACTTACTTACTTACTTACTTACTTACTTACTTACTTACTTACTTACTTACTTACTTACTTACTTACTTACTTACTTACTTACTTACTTACTTACTTACTTACTTACTTACTTACTTACTTACTTACTTACTTACTTACTTACTTACTTACTTACTTACTTACTTACTTACTTACTTACTTACTTACTTACTTACTTACTTACTTACTTACTTACTTACTTACTTACTTACTTACTTACTTACTTACTTACTTACTTACTTACTTACTTACTTACTTACTTACTTACTTACTTACTACTTACTTACTTACTTACTTACTTACTTACTTACTTACTTACTTACTTACTTACTTACTTACTTACTTACTTACTTACTTACTTACTTACTTACTTACTTACTTACTTACTTACTTACTTACTTACTTACTTACTTACTTACTTACTTACTTACTTACTACTTACTTACTTACTTACTTACTTACTTACTTACTTACTTACTTACTTACTTACTTACTTACTTACTTACTTACTTACTTACTTACTTACTTACTTACTTACTTACTTACTTACTTACTTACTTACTTACTTACTTACTTACTTACTTACTTACTACTTACTTACTTACTTACTTACTTACTTACTTACTTACTTACTTACTTACTTACTTACTTACTTACTTACTTACTTACTTACTTACTTACTTACTTACTTACTTACTTACTTACTTACTTACTTACTTACTTACTTACTTACTTACTTACTTACTTACTTACTTACTTACTACTACTTACTTACTTACTTACTTACTTACTTACTACTTACTTACTTACTTACTTACTTACTTACTTACTTACTTACTTACTTACTTACTTACTTACTTACTTACTTACTTACTTACTTACTTACTTACTTACTTACTTACTTACTTACTTACTTACTTACTTACTTACCTAGTTCAGTAGACAATATACAAATGGAATCATTAACCTTAAATAGAAACCATTATTCGTTTTTTTTCTTTTTTTTTCCAGACTTTATCTTCTATGATTTGAACTTTTTAATGTCTAGTTTATTTTGTTTTTTTTTTCTTGAATAAAGAATTAATAATCTCTTCCTCTCTCCCTCCCCCTCACTTGCACTACCCATCTTTATCTCTTTCTCTCTCTCTTGGTTTATTTATGTATTTTTTTTCTTAAATACAATAAAGAAAAAAAATTTTAAAAAGAAAAGAAAAGAAAAAGAGCATGACAACAACAACAACTCTGTTATATTGATAAAGATGATAATAATCATAACAACAGTAACAATCAAGAAAAGAATAAGAAAGATAAACAAACAAACAAACGTGGACACATAGACGCACACACACACACACGCACATACAAAAGAACAATAACAATAACAACAACAACAAAAAAAGAGAAAAAAGGTTTTCTTTATTTTTTTTTTTGAAAAATCAACACCTGGAATATTGATAAATGGTGTATTGTGTTTTAGCCTTTTTTTCTCTCTCCTTTTTCTTCTTTTTCTTCTTCCTTTTCCTTGTCCATAATGAATCTTGTTTCAATGTTCAATGTAGTTTTGTATGATATAAATGAATAAGTGAATCATAAAATGGTAACCACTAAAATGGAGTAAACAACAACAATAAAAACAGTTAAGTAGGATTAATTCATTTTAGTAGTCTGATAAAATAGAACAAAAAGAACAACAAGAAGAAGTAAGAAACCATGTTAAACTATTAAAGGACATTAACATCTGGGGGGTTTTGTTTTTAGTATAATTTATGTATATTTATTTACTAATAATATAGAAATGATTATGACTTATTTAGTTGTAGACTTAGTTACATTTTAATAATTGAGATCATGAATCAATGGGAGTTAGACTACGATGGAGAACCTGAAAGCACTGAACGGCCGTTTCGTCCTATTGTGGAATTCCTCAGCAGTGCGCATCGAAGATACCGCCCCCCGCGAGATTCGAAACCAGGATCTATCAGTCTCGCGTGTGAGCGCTTAACCATTAGACCACTGAGATGGCCGACATCCAACGGTGTTAATGTCTAACTTCAACTAATCCATGAAATTGAGCGACACATCCATTATTGTTTTCAGTGAGTTACTATCGCACAATAGGCCTGGCTGAACTTCACTAATCACTGCTTCTCACTAGAACTCCAGGGAATACCTCTTGAAGCCAGTCACTAAAGAGCATATGTTGATTTATATCAGAAGGATTTTTTGACTCATGATCTTAACTATTGAAATTACTACAATATCTACAAAAACCTTTCTGATACATTTTAATAGCTGAGATCATGAGTCAATTGAAGGTAGACTACAGTGGAAAAACTGAAAGCACTGAACGGCAGATTCGTCTTATTGAGGCGCATTCAAAATCCTGACTCGCGAGATTCGAACCCAGAACCTATCAGTCTATCACGTTACATTTAATGCTAATACATACAAAAAAGAATAATTAAAAACTATTTGATCGATATCCAATATTGGCAAAAGTTCACTTACCTACTTATTTACTTACGTCTGTTACACTCATGGACAAGTATAGTCCGATCACCAGCATTCTCCATCCAACTCTATCATGGGCAATACTTTCCAGTTGCTATTCATCCTATTCATGTCTGCTCCCACCTGTCGACGTATTGTGTCCGTTGGTATCCCTCTTTCCCGTTTAACTTCAGCATTCCACGTTAGTGCTTGCTTTGTGATGTAATTTGATGGTTTCCGTAATACATGTCCTATCCACTTTCAACATTTTTCTCTAATTTCCTCCTCAGATGGAACCTGGTTTGTTCTCTTCCATGGTAGGCTGTTCCTGATTGTTTCCGGTTAATGAATATTCAGTATATTACGTAGACAGTTGTTTATAAATACTTATACCTTTTCGATGATGATTTTGGTATTTCTCCAAGTTTCGGCTCTCTAGTTGCTCTGAGTTCCATATGTTCTTCAGTTGTAGAAATGCGGCCCTTGCTTTGCCAATCCTCGCCTTTACGTCTGCATCAGATCCTTCACGTTCATCGATGATACTGTCCAGAAACGTGAATGTTTCCACCTGTTCCAGAGTTTCCCCATCAAGTGTGATTGTGTTAGTGTTATCCGTGTTGTATTTGAGGATTTCACTTTTTCCATTGTGTACGTTGAGGTATACTGATTCAGAAGCTGCTACTACATTGTTTATCTTGACCTGGACTTGTTGGTGTGTATGAGATAGAAGAGCTAGTTCATCCGCGAAGTTCAAACCGTCTAGTTGCATTTAACCTGTTCATTTTATTCTATGCTTCCCACCAGATGTCGAGGTCTTCATAATCTAGTCAACAACCAGCAGAAGAAAGAGAAAGTAGGCAGACTTGGCTGATTCTGGTCCTTACTTGGAATGGATCTATCAGCTGTCATCCATGCACCACTATGCAATGTTAAGAGAATCAATCACTAAAATCCTAAATGAACAGGATTCAAAAGACAGGATCAGTCGCTAGGTGACCAAACAAGCTGAATATCTAAGATTACTAAGGATTCCGGTACTAAGATGAAGTAGCTATTCAGTGATTCCTATTTTATAGTAATTCTTTTACCAAGATCAATCTATTACGTAAAACTAGAAAATATTCTAAACTATCCATTTTTCAGACATCCTATCTATATATAAATGAATCCATTCGGTCCCTTTGGGACATTTCGATTTATAGCATACAATTATGAATATAGAAGAACCATACATTTGGCTGATTACAACAAAGTGGTTAATGCGATGGTGTTTGAAGCGAACGGTACTGAGTTTGGGTCCCAAAGTGAACATCAATTCTGAGATGCAGGTACATCCAACTTCCGTGTCTCAAATAGGACGAAACACGCATCCTGGATTCCACTGCTAGTAACTATCCATCTTTGCTTGATGTACATATGCTAATAACAGACTGTTCAGTTTCAGTCCTAAATAACAATGGGAAGATACAAGTAAACAACACCAAATTAATTTAAAATATAATACTTTAATAAATAAATGTACTATTCATGACCTCTTTATGTGGTAAGTAGGAGTGGGGGGTGACGAGAGGGTGAGAAGATGGTGTAAGTGTAGATAAATAAATCAAGGAGAAAGTATGATCATAACTGAAATCAAAGTGTTATCATTAGAATTAATAATAGTACAAATAGTACATAGTCCGATCTGAGTCATCATCATCATCATCATCATCATCATCATTCTTGTTCATGACAAAAGGGACATAGTTTACATAGACAACCTAAATATTATTTCATATGGTTTAACAATAATGGAGAATACCTTATCATCACCTTATCATCATTGTATATCTATTAATTGTGATATATTGGTCCACCAGGTATCTTGGCACCTGTTTAATTCTCTTATATGATTAAACTTGGCAATTAACGTTGTAATGAGCTTTAATAACATCTGGTTCTCTTGTTAACCAATGTGGAATGACTTGTCCTAGCATGAAACACTGAATATTGTTGTACAATTGACAACATAAACATTATGTTTTTGATTAAGATCATAAATTGATTGATGTTAAACCATCATTGAAAACTTGAAAGCACTAGACGGCTGTTTTGTCCTAGTATGGTTTAGAGGTTGAGCATTCTTAGGTGAGACTGAAGATTCTGGGTTCGAATCCCATATACGGGATAGTAGATGAGCAGTTCTAGGATGAAACGGCCGTTCAGTGCCTCAATGATCGTCTAACATCAATCGATTTATGATCTCAATCAAACACTGAACAATCTTCACAACCCATACTGATTAACATTATGATCTATCTTAAAGAGTCTAATTATTTAAATTCATTAAGCACTGTGAATATGAAACATCGCCAAATAATCATTTAATGTTAAGGTTTTGACATGACATTAAAATCGATTTCTTTCCAACAAATCTTACTAATCTGACATGTTGATGGAATAGCTAATGTACAGCCTTTCATCAATGAGCATTGAAGTGCGTTACTTTAATAGAACAAAGCTAACAGCCTAATCATGCAAAGTAAGAATTAAATGAGTTGTTTAGATATAGTTGAATTTCCTCTTTTAAGAGATTGTTAGAATGGGGGTTTGTGAAGATTGTAGTAATATTTAACGGTTGAATTCATGAGTTGATCTGAACTAGACCACCATGGAAAACCCGGAAGCATTGGACGGTTCTTTCGTTCTACTGTGGGACTCCTCAGCAGTTTGCATCCACGATCACGTACAAGGGAATCGAACCCAGGACCTTCAGTCTCGTGTGAGAACGTTCAACCCTAGATGTCGGAGCTGGCATCTAACGGCGTTAATGTCGAACTCCAATAGATCCACGAAATTACATGACCATCTTCTATTATCAGAGATAGATACTTGTCACTACCCGATATTGATTAGCTCCACTGGTCACGGTTTCTCACTAGAACTCCAAGAATTACCTCTCGAAGCCGGTCACTAGTGAGCTCAATGTTAAATATCAGTACGGGTTGGAAAGATTGTTGAGTTATTGATTGAGATCATGAACCGCTCAATGTTAGATCACCATTGAATTAATACTTTGATATTATAAAAGCACTGAAAAATGTTTGCATAGCATCTTGAATCAAACAAAATTGAAATTGTATGATCGGACGTGTGACTCACTGTTTGGATAAATTAAGAGTTCAGAATGAGACTTGAATATCTTGGTTTCCATTACTAATGAGGTTATTAGTGTGCACTACTGACGAGTACAATATCCAGACGAAACGTTTATTAAGTGTTCCTTAGTTTTCATTGGTGTCAATTTACAAATTAAGCTTCATTTATTTACAGCAATATCGAGACAATCCGTACAGTATGCACATATGCTAATAAGAGACTGATCAATTACAGCCATAAATCTCAATGGGATAACTCAATCAGCAAATACTAAGTAAATTAAACTTCCCAAACTATGTACTATTTGTACTATTATTAATCCTAATAATGGTACTTTGATTTAAGTTGTGATCGTACTTTCTCCTTTATCTACATCTACACCATTTTCTCACCATCTCCACCCCCACCCCCACTTACCACATAAAGAGGTCATGAATAGTACATTTATTATATTTTGTTGTGATAAGCCAAATGTATCATATTATAATATCGAAATGTCCCAAAGGGATCGAATGGATTCATTTTTATATCGAAACGTGTTCATATAATAATAGAGTTGAAGTGACCTTAAAAGAAGTTATGGTCATACTAATTTGTAGATAAGTGAATGAAATAAACAAAGATGGGTATTGGCTAGTAGTGGAATCCACGAAGCACGTCTCGTCCTATTTGAGACTCGTCAGTTGGATGTACTTACATCTCAGAGTTGATATTCACTTCAGCCGGGACTCGAACCCAATACCGTTTGCTTCAAATGCCATCTCATTATCCACTTAGCCAGTGACTGATCAGTTGCAATCCTAAAGATCCATAGGAAGATTCAAGTAAACAATATTAAGTGAGGTGGATGAAATAGATTTAGTAGTGTAACTGCTGATATATATGACTTTGGAATCGATTTTATTCAAGTTTCTATAACTATTAACATGATTACTACTGATAAGCTTTGAGATGGTTCTATAGTCATTACTCATAATTCGGGGTATATCTTTATTGCTAGGTGCTCCAACGCGTTGACCAAGGAAAGGAAATTGATTTTGCACTTTAGAGTCACTATTAATTGATGGCAACTCGTGAATAATGTTTTCAGGGGTGCGAATGGTTTCAGACATGAACTAGTGATTCAGTTAAATATATTTATGGAACCCATAAGACTATCGCTTTAAAGCAGGGTGACCCAATCTGAGTGTCTTATCAAGTGTGTATGTTTGCGATTCGTGTATTATAAGAGAATGCTATTGAAAAGTTTGATATAATGAGGAGAATCAACATCCTTTCTATGGTCACTACTTTCAAATTAGTTCTGTACTTGTGAAGATAGTAGAATGATACCTCGACAGGAAACTAGGTTCAAATTACTACTATGTCTTATTGAGGGTGTGAACTATGTGTGACTAGCAGTGCGTCTAAAGTGCTGTTAAGAATTCATCATCATTATATGAATGACTTCTACTGATGTTCTAATTTATACCATGGTAATTTAAATATCATGTAATGGCCCGCACACTGAAATTTAAAAAAGAAGTTTCTATTGCAATCCAGCCAACGGTACTGGGTTCGATTCACAGAGTGAACATCAACTCTGGAATGCAGGCAAATTCAGCGGACAGGTCGTAAATAGGAAGAAACGCGTACCCTGGTTTCCACTGCTAACCACCATTCATCTCTGCTTATGAGCTTCGTTTATTGTTGTTTCTGTCCCAACTGATTACATATTATCATTAAATTTATTTTAAAAATTGTACGTATTCAAATGGTATGTATGATATGATGTCGTGTGTTACGAATATCAATAGTCCTAACTGCGTTTCTTATATGTTAATTGAATGTAATTTAGTAAAGTTATGTGGCTATGTAGAGCTGGAGGTCCCATATGAGACTGCTCCCAAACTCCCTGGTACGACCGAGGGTAGGAAGAGTCAGTTCTTCCTCTTTAAATGCTTTCACATGGCCACTGTCAAGGAACTCCTACTCACTGCCTTCTCACGTCGGAGATTTTATTTTCGAAATTGGGAAGATGAAAAGTGAATGTCCGACGCTTTAACCAGGTTGATGTATATTGAGGATCCATATAAAGGAGTTACAAAACCCTGAACATGGGATCCAAGATCCTGAGAAAACAAATGGTGTATGAAGCAATTATTGGTGGCTGACTATCATGGAATTGTATCTCATAAAGTTGCTCCACTGTCTTGTTGATCAGACCCCCTACGAAAACCACCTGCATCGATCTGGGCACCTGGGCAGTATCACATCCCACACACAAAACAAGTGACTTGTGTGTCGCATATGTATTCGATGCTCCTATGTGTTTAAATAAATAAATATAAAGTATTGAGTAAAGTGAGTAATGATAACAATGATATATTGGTTACATAATCAACAGATTCTTCATCATTACACAGATTTAAAAGTTATTTTTAATTAAGTGTTACTTAGAAGTGGGATAAACATCAAACTAGCTGAATAAACCGTTAATTTTTACAAATTATCTAAAGAATACCAATCTAACATGTTTAAATGAATGAACACCGACTTCAAATTCTAATGTGGTCATCAATAGTGACAAATAAATTGACGGTGGCTCAACTTCATGGATTGGTTGAAGTTAGACATTGACACCGTTGGATGCTGTCCAGCTCAGTGATCTAGAGGTTATGCTCGCGCGCGAGACTAATAGGTTATGGGTTTAAATCCTGCGGGGCGGGATTGTGAATGCGCATTGATGAGGAGTCCCATACTAGGACGAAACGGCTGTCCAATGCTTCCAGATTCTCCATGGTAGTCTAACTTCAATCGACTAATGAACACAACCATAAAATTTCTATAATATCCATAAAAACCTCTTCTGATAACAAATAAATTTGTCAAGCTAATGAGACTACAACCATCAACATGTCGAGTGTAAGGCATGTATCCACTGAAGACAATGAAAGATGTTATCACAATAATGTGGATTGATTGAAGTTAGACATTAAGATTGACAGGTTAAGCGTTCACACGAGTTCCTAGATTCGAGCCCCGTGTATTGGATCATGGATAACCAATATTAAGAAGTCGAATACTAGGACGGAATGACCGTTGAGTTATTTATCAATGGTGATCTAATCTTCATCAGTTCATTACCAAAACAGGTAATCATTTATTCAAAATGAACAACCTGATGAATGACTGAATGGGTATAAAGACCAAAATTCTTTATTTACAAATTACTCTCTAGTTTGAACTTCACTTATATTAATCCATATTTGTGCTTAAATTAATCTTATTATACTGTTTTATGTATTTTACCTTGACAAAGACAATGTAAAGTGTAATTTAAGGTGATGAATCGATTTAAAATGAATAATACTCATTAGGTATATGTGATTGTACTTGTCACTATGGTCTTATATACATAATGTCATATTGATTTTGTGTTAATTATACAGGGTAAATATTAGGGAATAATACAAACAAAGATTTATTGATTCCCCCCCCCCGACAAATAAGTGGATATCACAATGGGTATGAAACATTACTACATATAATTGACGTAGATTACAATTGTAAGGCTCAGTGAAATGTTAATGAACCCTAGGCAAATTATGAGGTAGTTGGGTACTGGATCATCGATCCCCGTCAAGGTCAAGGACAACCAAGGCTCCGTGAGATTCCCTCCTACAAGTGCATTTCGTGCTACTTTGGACAGCATTAGAGCGACTCCCTGAGTGTGTGGAGCATTGTTCTCTTCGTGATCGGAGTATAGTAGCATCTCTCCCGTAGCTAGCCTTTTCTGTCCCTTGGGTCCAATGGGTTTCGCTGATTCCCAGTACTGCCAAGTTGTATCTCCTCATTTTCCATTGCTATTTGACTGGTCTTACCGGTTTTCCCACATTGTTCGCACGGTTTCCATGTACCTATAAAATTTTTGCTCTGGTTGTTAGAAGGGCATCAACCTCGTGGCTTCCGAAGGAGCTCGGCTTTCACCATGAAGCGTCATAATTCTTCTAAATGAAGACCTTCTAACTCCCAGGGGAAGTTAAAATGTTTGGATTATTTTTTTCTGTAAGCGTTTTTTTTAGAAGCTAGTTTTCTATGGGATGGGGACGCTAACCCCATGCCCAACCCTCCTCCTTTACCTGGCTTGGGACCGACAGTAACCCTATAAGAGCTACAGGCGAGTTAATAATTCCTGATTATGTACGTCTAAATGATCTCAGTTTACCACTCAATTGTTTTTCAGCTGAACTAACTAGTTAGCTCTTGTATGTAATTAGGGAACTTCTAATCCTTTTCTCCAATTGTTATAATCATTTGCCGTAGTGATAGTCGACTGGTTGTTCAGTGTTCATCTTTTATGGTCATTAGTTTAAACAACCACCATTTGTAGGACATACCTTGTTATCACATTCCTAAACTACTGTTAATATTTACTGACTTATCAGGTACAAATTCGTGTATTTGATCTCACTTCACATTCTAGATGTAAGGGTGACAGTACTAAAGGGTTCCCTAAACCGAAATATGTGTGGCTGGGTTCGAACCTGAAGCTTAGTAGCTAGAAGTAGAGCATTTCAACCAATTAGCCACTGCTCCAAATTTTTTCAGCTATCTATCTATATATATTATGTAATTGTGTTCTCCCAAGTGGACTGAATCATGTTGGTAGGTGTAGACTACCTTGTTGGGATCTGCGAGACGATAGAAACCTTGAATGACATGGCTCAAAATCGTTTGAAATGGTGTTAGCAGGTGCATCCACTTTTTGTGTTCTCCCAAATCCTAATCTTCTGAAATCTTCTTGTCCCTTATTTTTTCTCTTTCCAACTTTATTTCACTGAATTATACTCTTTGAATAATATCTTCAAACCATAATGTTTCCGATTATTGCTTATACTTTTACTACCTCTACCACTACGAGATTTGAATCGACATCTGCATCTGTGTTAATGTGGTATGGAAACTTGAACTGATGTATGTACATACGAAGTTCTGCGTTGTTGATGACTGGCTAACTGACGTTATGTAAGTTGAGAACCTACATAACTAGTAGTCTAATTGTTTTTGCAACGCATCTGTTTTTATGTTGTTTTTTTTTGTAGACACTTTCACCGCTGGAAATGTATCCACGTATATTAGATTTTCATCCTGTCAATACAGTATCTTTTACCATGACATTAGCTCGTAACTGTGTTCTTCCAATGGTAAGTTATAATATGATGTTTGTTTGTTTATCCATTGTGTTAATCCAGTATGTATATGCTTAGTTTAGTACTTATAAAAATAAGTGTGTATTTGACTAGTTCACTACAAATCAAATTGACTAGTTATTAACAGATTATGATGTCTAATTATCATCCATTCATAATGTAATCAATAATCTCTATAGTCTCCTTGCATTAATAATAACCAGCTGCTCTGTCCTAGTAACTAATTTTAAGAGGTAATTTCTGGGAAGCCAGGCCACAATGAATTTTGTTGTATATGGTTAATAAACTGTCTAATATTTTCTATCTGAAGTTTGTTCTGATGATGTCGTTCAGAAGAACGATGAAAGCTTCACGACCAAACCATTCAGCTCAGAGAACAAAATACCATCAAAATCATCCACCTGAGCTACAAATCTTCTCCATCATCTGAAAATCATATGAGCGTAATACGCTTCTCGTTGTTCGAAAATGGGAGAATTTCGCCAAAAGGCAGTCTTCCACTCGAGAACAACTCTATTTTCTCCATGAGTGTCTTCTCCAGTATGTTCTACCAACAAGTGTAAGATATGGACCTCCAATCAACCGCCCATTAGGATGGAAAATAGCTGAGCAAAGTGTAAGAAAAATGGTACACCTAATGATAACGGACTTCTATCTGAAGTTTGTGCTGATAATGTCGTTCAGAAGAACGATGAAAGCTCCACGACCAAACCATCCAGCTCAGAGAACGAAACGCCATCAATATTTTCTATTAGAATATACCTTTAAGCGAAACAACTGTTGAAGATAAATGATGTAAGCTGTTCAAAACATTGCGGTCTTATGATGCAACCGTTATAAATTTGCATAAGTACTTCACTTCGTTGATAATACTGTTATAATATTCGGTGTGATTAGAACAGTATAGAGTTTAGGAAATTACTTTTTAAACATGGCTCAAGTAACCGTTCCTTAATATCAGGCCATATATCAAGCATGATGTGTCTTATACCCCCTGGTTATTCTCACTAATAATCTTGAGAGGGCTGGAAAGCTTATGCTTACTTAGGGATTATTTAATGTTAAAACCAAACATTATCTCATTGATCCGTTTATATGGGATTAAAAATAGTTAGACTAATTTAGTTAATAATCAGTTTATTTGATCACTTTCGTGATACAACCATTCATTTAAGTGATATTAAAGTCGTTAGAAGGTGGTGACGAATCTCATAGAAACTGAGAAATACTCAATCATTATCATTTGTCATTGTATTTGTTCTCCTTCTTAATTTTTTTGGGTCTTATTCATGCACCATTATTGATTTTCGTATCTTTTCAATAAGTTTTTATTACTTAAGAGTCCCTTATTAAGACTGTATAAATAATCATTGGTCTCAATACCTAGACTAGTATTAACGCAAAGCCTCAGTTGTATTACCGCCCTTGTTTTATATTTGTTCAGATGTCGAGATTGATAGTGTTGTGAAAGTTTGTATTTCAGGTTCTCACATGCCCTGGTACGGCTGAGGGTGGGGAGAGTCAACTCTCCATCTCCAAATGCTTTCATATGGTCACACGTATACAGCCACTGCCACACAAGTCCTAATCCCTGCCTTCTCGTGGGATTACTGTTGTTTATGAAACTGAGAGGACGAAAAACAAATGTCCGTTGCTTTAACCGGATCGGTGGATATGGAGAACCCACTTAGGGGAGTTGGAAAACCCTCATTCCCAACCAATGGTGCACGTAGGCTTCAGGATCCTGAAGGAACAAATGGCATATGAACCAATTATTGGTGACCGGTTACCATGCGACTGCATCTCCTTATGTTGCTCCACTGCCTTGTGGATCAGGCTTTTAGGTGGAAGGCTCCGGGTGTGGGTCCCTAAGAAAACCACCTGTTTCGGTTTGGGCACCCGGGCAGCATTACAACCCAAACTCAAATCAAGTGAATTGTGCGGTGCATATATATATATTATACTCGGTGCCCCCTTGTACCAATATTTATATGTTCAAATGCATAAACAAATAATAGGATTGATGGAAGTACACTTATTTGTTGTTAAATGATCGAATCAAATCTACAGTGAACTTCGAATTATTTATTTTGTTATCAGAATTCATCCGTAACTGAAGTTATTTTCAATTGTCTCCGACAATTATATCCACAGTAACACAATTCTCGATATTCTGATTAGAAAACGTAAGTATAGTGAACAATTAGAAGTTGGAAATTAAATCTTTTATGAAAATTTACACCTTAGTTATATAGTACCATTCACGTACTAAGTACTAAGTGAATAAGACGATGACCGAAACTACTAAGTACAAGGGGATATATATATTTTTTCAATATGCGTTGGAGAGAAATCTTAATCCTATCAATCATGCTTATATATCTATCTACATAAGTTGTTGTTATTTATATTATATAGAATAGTTATGTTTACACCTTTTTGTTATTTGTATTACATACAATAGATTGTATCCAAAGGTAATGATCAAGTTCCAATGACAACAAAATTTGAAAGTCGACAAGATGTTGGTTAGTTGAATTGATTGCATTTTACTTTTTATTATAAATACTATTTAAAATGATGAATTTCAATGAATACACATATAATTTAACAATAATAATAATAATAATAATAATAATCCTGGGTTCGAATCTCGCAAGGTGGAGTCATGGATGCGCATTGCTGAGGAATCCCACAAAAGGACAAAACGGCTGTCCAGTGTTTCTAGGTTTACCATGTTAGTCCAGCTTCAATTGACTAATTCTCTCAATTATTGAAATTACTATACTATCCACAAAAAAACTCCTGATATTAACAATAATCTTCACATATGCATGAGGAGATTAAAAATATAATCCATGTTAACCGTATTATATTGTATTGTATTGTATTCAGTTATCCAGCAATTTGTATGATTGTGCATTAGTCACGTTAATTCAGATTTAAGAGTTCAATGATAGTTATTTGACCAAATTCAAAGACAACTCATAGAATCTGATTGAATTGTTCACTTATCACACATCTATATAATGTTTAATGTGATAATCTGAAAGGATGTTAAAAACTAAAACATCTGATTGCTTGTAGTAAATTTGGGCGGTGATTATCAGTATAGCGGTGAATAGAAGTAGTTGATAGGAAATTCTGGATTTAGGCTTCGTGCTGTTTGGTTTTCATCAGCAAGGTATACTTGTAATGTTGATAGAACTGATGCGTTCACAACCTCGCCTCACGAAACTTGAACCCAGGACCCATCGGTCGGGATCGTGTACGTGCGATGATGAGGATTCCCACAATAGGACGAAACGGCCATCCAATGTTTTCAGGTTTTCCATGGTGGTCTAGCTTCAATTGAATCATGATCTCAACTATTACATTACTGTAATATCCACAAAACCCCCTTCTGATAAAATACTTATCCTCATCAATTCTCTTCTCATTTTGCTGACATTGACATAGTGTAAGTTACTCTGAAAGGAAATACATGATAGTAGTGGAGATTTGTTACCTGAAGAGTTACATATCGATTTTTATGCTGTATAATCACATAAACGCTTCCTTACTGTCACGTAATAATTTGATATTCAACGTTGTTTTGTATGGTATTCATCTTACGTCAGAGAAATAAGAAATACTCTTAGCTAACTGACATGATCCTATGTTTCTATAAACAGGCCGTTTCTGAGAGTTAGGAAATTTATTTATCTGAATAGGTAGGTGTCTGCATACTACTAATTGTAGTGTTTTAGATGATATCAATTTAGCTTCCAGTAAAGGTCTGACCTTAAATTATGATTCGATTGTTCAGTTTATCATTTAAACGTGGTTTAGTGTATTTCAATTCAAGTAATGAGATCAATACCTTTAATCTATACATATCATATATGCCTCGTATTCCATCATGTTAATCTTTTCGATTATTTCAATCAATCAGTCGTCAGCAAGGTACATTTGTGCATCAGTTCACGTTGTCACACCATATCAGGATGAGATGAAATTATCAAGACAAATTCTAGAATATTGGAAGTTATAAACATTTATCATAGGCAATTTGTTGTAAGAAGAATGAATGAATCTGTAAAGTACAAAACTATAAGATGATTTCAACATTCATTATCTAATGAATAATAAACGAAAATTCCTCTGCTTTATTTGTAACCAATTTTGAATGCTGTCACTCAACATTTCCAACCACTAGTCATGATAATCGTCTTACATAATTTAATTTCTAGTTAAGGTTTAAACATTAGATGCTTATTTGTTTCTGTCAGTTCTAAACCCATTTCATTGTCATATGTTTTATGGCCTCAAATGCCCTGGTATGACCGAGGGTGAGGAGAGTTAGCTCTCTCTCTCTCGAAATGCTCTCACATGGCTACGTGCATACAACCACTGTCAGGGAAGTCCTACTCACTGCCTTCTCGTGGTATTATTGTTGTTGTTTACAAAATTGAGAGAAGGAAAAGCGAATATCCGCCGCACTAACTGGGTCGGTAGACATGGAAGATCCATTTTGAGGGGTTGGAAAGCCCTCATTCCAAACCAATGGTGCACATGGGCTCCAGTATCCTGATGGACCAAATTGCTTACAAACATATTGTTCATCACTGGTGACCATCTCTTAACGTTGCTCCACTACCTTCCGCATCAGACCTTTAGGTCGAAGGTACTAGTAGTGGTCCCCTGAGAGACCCATCTGTTTCGGTCTGGGCACTTGGGCAATATCACAATCCATACGCAAATCAAGTGACTTGTATGTCGCATATATATTCGATGCCTCTTTGTATGTTTTCTTTCGACTGTATTCATCGCATATCGATCTAAGTTTGTATACCCTTGAAAACCAGGGGGCACTGGACAACTATTTCGTCCCACTATGAGAATCTTCCGCAGTACACATTCAGTGCATCATTATTTTAAATATTATTTTAACCTTTAACTGCTTTTTTCTTCTGTTATTTATCCCATACTTTTCTCTCATAAAATCTCTTCCAGCCGTAATACGTAATTATGGTCATTTATTAGCACAATTATCTGCAGTTGTCCCAGATGGTATTGTGGCATTTTTTCCAAGTTATCATTATCTTGTAAGTGTTAATTTTCACATTCTATATAATGAATATGCTTTCTACACAAGTGTTGATTATATAATTCGTGATTTTTCATTTTAAAACTTATTATGATCACTTTTATAATTGTGTCAGTGTAATGATACTGGTCCTATGTTGTAGCTCCTAAATGCCCTGGAACGGCCGAGCGTGGAGAGAGTCAACTCTCCATCTCCAACTGCTCTCACATGACCACGCGTATACAACCACTATCAGAGAAGTCCTACTCACCGACTTCTCGTGGCATTATTGTTTACGAAATTGAAAGGACGAAAACCGGATGTCTGGCGCTCTAACCGGGTTGGAGGACACGGAGGGTTCATTCAGGGGAGTTGGATAACCCTGATTCCAAACAAATGGTGCACATGGAATCCAGGATCCTGATGGAATAAATGGTGTATGAACCTTTTGTTGGTGACCGGCTACCATGGGACTGCATCTTCTGAAGTTGCTCCACTACCTTATGGATTAAACCTTTAGGTCAAAGGCTCAGGCTGTGACCCCCTAAAAAAATCACCTATTTCTTTTTAGGCACCCGGACAGTACCCCAGACCTCACACAAATCAAATGATTTATGTGGCGCTCATGTTTTCGGTGTCTCCTTATACCAATATTTATATGTTTTATTAAGTAAATAAACGTTGTAGCTGACTAACTAGGAAACTTGTACGATTCTCTTAAAATGACTAAGTCATTTACACTCTTTGTTAGCTAATCTATAAGAATATGGATGAATTAAAGTGAGAATTCGACAAAACAAATATAATTTAACTTAACTATTTACAACATTCCTTTCTGATCATTATTAGTAACGGTTTAAATAAGTTAGTGGATGTATAGACTTATTAGCTTACTGGATAATACATTGGCATTTGAAGCTGAATTAGAGTTACTGTGTAAAATTCAACATTATGATGTCGTAGGCATATACAGCCAACAATTCCCGAATAAGATGAGATACACATTGTGAATCGCATTGCTAACTACAAACCATCTATTCTAGAAATCTTGTAGTAAAATGACAATATCGAATCAATCTGTTCAAGATGCACATAATGCATATAATTAATAGACTATGAAAGTAAAATGACTTTAAAAAATTTTCTCAACAGAAGATGGATAGTGATTAGCAATGAAATCCAGTTCGACGCTCATTTGGTCCTATTTGAGGCTCATCAGCTGGATGTACCTTCATTTCAGAGTTGATGTTCACTCTGCGACTCGAACCTAGTATCGTCCGTTTCAAACGTCATCGCATTATCCACTTAACTACTGAGTCCTGAGATGAAGCTTCATCGAGATGACGAGTTCCAAATAGAATCAAACGTGATTTGTCCTGGATTCCACTGCTAGTCACTATCCATCTTTGCTCATAATGATTGTGAATTAAGGCAATACATACAGTATACACATATGCCAATAAGTGACTGATTAATTATAGTTCTAAACATCAATGGAAAGATTCAGGTAAGACGATACCAAGTGAATTTAAAACAGAGAATAGTTTTCAGTGCTCAATAATAATCTCAATCTCTTACGAAGCATTTATTCAGATCCGACTATCTATCTTGTCATATCCTCTTTTCTAGCTCTTTTCATAATAATAATCAATAATTTTATTAATATTACACATAATATATTACTGAATTACTATACAGTAGTATTTAAGTTACGAGGAAGGTGTCATAAACATTTTATCTCAACCAAGTAGCCTGCATCTACCAACATGACTAAGACTAGAAGTTGGTGACTTGAAGGACTGATGCCACGTTTTGGTTTGGCCGCCCCCAACTCTCTTCCAACCATCCCCAACACTAGTTCAGGCATACGTAACACGTGGCCCAACCATCTCAGATTCAAAACCTCATCAACTGATTTACCACCATTCCCTAATGCCCTGCGTTTAATCTCACTGTTACTTAGCCGGTGATCCCAGAAGATGCGAGCAGTATTTCTGGGACATCTGTGGTCAAATACTAGTAGCTTACGAGTATCTTCTATTCTTAATAGCGACGTTTCGCGGCCGAGTAGTAGAACAAAACGAACTGCTGCGCAGTATACTCGTCCTTTTATTGATAGACGGATATCTCGCTTTCGTCATAGGTGACGTAAGTTGGCATTGCCAAACTAGTTTTTTGAATTCGTCCTGAGATTTCGTCAGACACCAACCTATTAGGGCTGATCAGACTTTCAAGATAAATGAAGTTGTTGACGCGTTCAACTACTTCACTACCTATCCTTAGTTCATGTATTGACGCAGGTCAGTCCTGATGCAACAACTTGCATGTAAAGGGGGAGAATCGCATTCCAAACATCCTGGTATTGTTGCCCAGTGCTACCAAAAGACTACATTTTATCGATGTCTTCATCAAACAGAACTATATCATCTGCGTAATCTAAGTTAATAAGTGGACCTCCTAGTATGAGATCAATGCCTGAGAATTCAGTTGACGAAAGCGGTATTTCCAGCAGTAGATCTATGAGGAAGTTGAACAAAAATGGAAATAGTGGACAGCCTTGCTAGACACCACGATATCGAGGTGTACAAAACAAACTGTGAACCATATGTGGAGAAATTCGAACACTTCACTCCTACCTGAAGTTTGTGCTGATGATGTCGTTCAGAAGAACAATGAAAGCTCTACGACCAAACCATCAAGTTCAAAGAACAAAACTCCATCAAAATCAAGTTATCCATTCATTTAATCTATAAATGAACTTCAATTGAGTAACAATACAATGGTAATACTTACAATCTATGCTAATTTCATTGATATGCTATGAGTATTAACAGTAAACATTCATTATGACTTTGTCAGTTATCGTTTCTATCGATTAAACTTCTAAAAAATAAGGCGGAAATGAAAATTCTTTTCACGTTTATCATTATTATCTAATCTGAATTGGATTAATTAGTTATGTAATACTTCACCTTGATTTGATGATGTTTATTTGTTGATGTATGTGTGTATAGATATTCGCCTGTGTAACTCTTTTCACACATCCATTCAAATATAGATGAATAGTACATAAATATACATTTTCTCACCTTAAACTTTAATGAGATGATATCAGCATTGATTTTCACTTATATGCTAAGTATACTAAGTTTACTGTTGTTTGTTAATCGGCTGATTTTAATGGTAGTAACAATTAAGCCTTGGTCCACCAGGGTGCTTGGTACCTGTATGGTTGCACCACAGAATTGAGCTGTACTATTCAGATTGTAGCGTTAAAGCCTATATAGTGTCTGATTTTCTTGTGAAACGGGATTAAGCTGTACTGCTCGGGTTATAAAATTTAAGTCTGGATGGTGTCTGGTTCTCCTGGAAATGGGATTGAGCCGTACTATTTGGGCTACAAATTTTAAGCCTGGGCGGTGTTTGGCTCTCTTGTTAAATGGGGTTGAGCTGTGCTGTTTATGTTGTCACGTGAAAGTCTGGATGGTGTCTGGTTCGCCTGTAAACCAATGTAAAATTACCCTGGCCCACAAGAGTATATTATATAACAATTGAGCCTAAATACTAAGATAAACAAAATATAATTGGTAGTAATTTTTTGACATATCTTTACGTTGAAAGATTTAACATGAACGTCCTAACTCCTTCGTAGTATTTTCAAATCTTCTACTTTTGAATTCCAAATGGGAAACACAAGTTAAGAAGTACGGAAGAAAAATTATTCTGAAAGTTGATTGACTTTCAGGAATCGAAGGTATTTACATAATTATGTATGACTTTGATTGTAGGAACGTAGTCACTTGAGAGCATTTGTAGAGGGAAAGCTGACTCTCTAAACTATAGGCCGTACCAGGGCATTTGAGACTTTCTAAATAACACTGATTACTTATAGTATTCTTATCATTTCCCTATTTTTTAAGGATATTTTTAAGCTTTTAATCCCTGAAAAAACATGTACTACGCTTTTTGATGGAGTTTTGTTCTCTGAGCTGGATGGTTTGGTCGTGGAGCTTTCATCGTTCTTCTGAACGACGTCATCAGCACAAAATTCAGATAGAAGTGAAGTGTTCGAATTTCTCCATTGCTTTCATCGTTCTTCTGAACGACATCATCAGCGCTTCTATCTGAAGTTTGTGCTGATGACGTCGTTCAGAAGAACGATGAAAGCTCCACGACCGAACCATCCAGCTCAGAGAACAAAACTCCATCAAAATCATCCACTTGAGCTACAAATCTTTTCCACCGTCTCACATGTACTACGCTTTTGAGTATAAAATAATACACCTGTTCATTTATTTTGAAATGAATTGGATAATAACTAACAGTGAAATCTAGGATATATGTTTCGTCCTATTTATAACTCGTCAGCTGGATGTACATGGACCCTAATGTTGTTATATGATTACAAAAAAACTGATTGATTACAATCTTTGACATAAACAATAAAAGGATTTTATCAACCTTTAGAAATTTAAACAAACATGGATAGTGGCTAGCAGTGAAATCCAGGGCAACGCGCGTTTCGTCCTATTTGGGACTGATCAGCTGGATATCGGAGTTGATGCTCACTCTGGGACTCGAACCCAGTACCGTTCGTTTCATACTTCATCACATTATCCACTTAGTTACTGTGTCCTGATAGTCACCTGCTTGTGCAATGGGGTGAAGTTTAAATTACAAACAAACAACCACTGAACCCGACGGTAAATACCAGTATACATGTAGTCCAGTACGAAACCAGTTGCATGCTTCATTATATAGCTTTTGGTTCAAGATGAAAATTCTTCCACAGGTTCACCTACGGAAATCTCGTTACAACTTTTACTTCCCTTAAATAGTTAAATTAATTCATCTTTTCAGCATCAGTCGAGCGGCAAAGCCACTACAACGACATCAATCCAGCGACCTCATTAAACCATTCAATCGATAGTAGCGATGGGCGGTATGAATTTAACCTTGAGAATTGTATTTTACTATTATTTCAATAATATATTTATGAAATCATTATTTCATTTACTTACAGTAATGTGTATAAATTGCTTGTTTATCATCTCTCATGTTTATTTCTTTAGGAGTCAACATTTGCCAGTTGGTATGAACAAGTAAGTAGAATCATTTAAGATATATTCCTTTCACAACATAATATGATGATAGATATTATTATATTATTAAACGGATTATGTATCCTTATACAATCGGAATTGATAACAAGAAAAAGGACTTTCAATGTGTTGTACAATACTTTTGTTGGGGACGTTAGATCGGGCTTCTGGCTGTTTTGCAGAATATACTTCCCATTCCAAGCTTGGTCTTCTCCCTCTTGTTAGCGGGGCTGGGACGCGTCAATAGCTTGCTTACTGGTCTTTGGTCGCCGAGTCTTGTTTCTCGCTCGCAGATTAAGTGAACTCGTGATAGTTTCAAACCTGGCAACTTTAAAAAAAAAACAACCGGAATATCGTTTACTCCATATCACATAATAAGTCCAGTAGATATCACTTTTTTGCATAATTCAGAGAATGCTAGAAATAGGATCCACTGAATGATATGTATATTGTGGTTATGATTACAAATTTACATAAGAATAATCAATTCATTGAAAAGCATTACAAGTTTCATTTGTTGGGAGATATATATTGTGTCCTTACATTGATTAGCCAAATATTTGAAGCCACTAATTCACAACTGACTAAAACTTATTTACGTCTATTACCTTCCATGGAGCATAGGCCGTTGATAAGCATTCTCCAACTCACTCTGTCCTGGGTCTTTTCTAGTTCTATCCAATTTTTATTCATTCTTCTCATATCTGTATCCATTTCTTAGCGTAATGTGTTGTTTGGTCTTCCTCTCCTCCTTCAACCTTGACGATTCCAAGTGAGAAATTGCATTGTGACACAGTCAGGTGCTGTCCTCAATGCGTGTCCCAACTACTTCCAGTGCTCCTTCCTTGTTTCTTCCTCCGCTGGGATCTGGTTTGTCCTCTCCCACAGTACGTTGTTGCTAATAGTATCCGGCCAACGGATCCAAAGTATTTTGCGTAGACAACTGTTAATAAACACCTGTATCTTCTGGATGATTGCTTTCATAGTTCTCCAAGTTTCCGCCCCATATAGTAGAACTGTTTCGACATTTGTATTGAAAATTCCAACTTTGTTGTTTTGAGTTTGAGATGTTCTTCAATTGTAGATATGCTGCTGTTCCTTTGCCGATCCGCGCCTTCACATCGGCATCAGATCCATTGTACTCATCAATGATGCTGCCCAAATATGTGAATGTTTTTTCATCCTCCAAATCTTCTCCGTCAATCGTGATTCGCCCGAATCCCCTCTGAGGCTACTAACGGTCTCAAGCCCATATAAAGGATGAGGGTTGGGTATCGGGTTGGCGACCCCATCCTGTAGAAAACTAACTAGCCTAAAAACGCTAACCGAAACTGTGAGGAAGAGTCAGAAGATAACTTTTCATTTGAATCTATTTCCAGTCAGATAAACTGGATTATGTAGTGATAACTTCATAATGTTTCTGTTTGAGAGATTCATGAAACTCCTCGAAAAAGTTCAAGAAAGGCTCTGAAAACATTATGAAGCATCTTATCCAATCAGCGTTCACTAGAAGTTTTGCCAGAAATATCTAGAAAATGAAAAGTCACATGTATTGTTTCTGTTATACTGCTACTATGTTCAGTAGCATTCCAGAATTTTTTGGAAACCCAAGGACATCTAAACTACTATAAAAACACTGTACATAAACGAACTTTTGAAGTTAAGTGTTTCTTCCATATTTCACGCCTTTTATCTCGTGTTCAAGCCGCTGTGTAATTCAAGCCTGGGGGTTACTCGAATAGCTTAAGAACCAAATCTAGCGTTCAATTGATAAGACTTATCAGTTTCTACTGGATAAACTAATTCGAAGTATTGAAAAACAAACAAAAGATATTCAATAGTACCATTCAACGTGAACAAGTCTCATTATTTCTGTATATAAATGTTTTTAACTGTGTTCTTATCACTTAAGTGGTTGTTTTAATGTCAGATTGTTTCAGTTTCTTAGTCAGCTCATTCATTTATCATCTTTACATCATTGATTTACAGTATTTATAATTGATTAATCACAATGATGCTCTTTGTGTTTTTCAATAGTATCGATTGTCTATTACTTCACATTGAAAAAATGTTAAAATTTTGTTAATATGGACATTGTTGTTGTTATGACAACTAAAAATAAGGTATAATTTTAATTCAAGTTCAATGTGTGTGTGTGTGTGTGTGTGTGTGTGTGTAGGTCTGGCTATTAAGCTTCAGTTATGCTTTGATTTCAGTCAGTCTGTCGTAAAAACGTAGAGCATTTCAAAATTATGCGTTGGTCCAGATTGTTACACTACATCAGCATGATGAGATGAAATGAATGAGATAAATAACAAAGAAATCAAAATAGTTTTAGTAATTATAAAAATAAAGTTTAAGCACTAAGAGTGTATGGGTTAACGAAACATAATGAAAGTCAAATGTGTGAAGGAAGATTGAGACTGAAGATTTAGATTAAGTTAAAAAGTGAACGGATCTGTCCGTCTATAATTGATTCTTAGCTGTATCACTAAATATCTCCATTTGTTTGTCACGATAACTGACTGAATCCTAACCACTTAGTTTGCATCCACCTACTCGACTCAGTTAACAATACAAGACCGAAGGTCCTGGGTTCGAATCTCGCGTGCGGATTCATGGATGCGCATTGCTGAAGAACTCTCATGCTTGGACGAAACGGTCGTCCAATATTTCCAGGTTTTCAATGGTGGTCTAACATTGATCGATTCATGGTCTCAATAAAAAACTTGACAACTTTCACAACCTCATACTGATAAAATCAATGTGGTGATTTTCTCTCTACCCGATTACCTGTGAACTTCATTACTAAGCCAGAAGCTAAAAGTTTCTAAACTTTGATCATTGAATTTTACTAATCTGTTTAAATTGTTCAGCAATATATAACTGTACATCTTACAAATGGTACTCCGAAGCCAAACAATAAGGAAGGTGATCGATTGTAGTCCTAAATAATAATGGTAAGATACAAGTAAACAACACCTAGTGAATGAATCGTTTATGTACGATTAAACCATTCATCTTAGAGAACTTGATTCTATACTAAAGTATGTCACAGAATTGAAAATGTTTATGTATTGAATTTTCTTGGTTGTTTTTTTCTTCTTCATAATAAGCATATTGTTGAACAAATTCAAAGGAATAAATTGTTATTTGTTGAAACACAAGATGCTGAAGAGACAAGTTTAGCATTGGCTGCTTATCATCGGGTAAGTTGATTTTATTCTTATTACATTTCGTTCTATCTATGACTCGTCAACTGGTTGTGTTTGTGTCCTACATTTTATATTCACTCCGGGAATCGGATTCAATGCCGTTCGTTTCAAATGCCATTTCATTATCCACTTAGCTACGGAGTCCTGATAGTCACTAGCTTATGTATTGATGTTTAGGACTGTAATTGATCAGTTTCTTATTGGCAATATCGAGGTAATCCGTACAGGATGTACATCTACCAATCAGAGACTGATCGATCTCAGTCCTAAACATCAATTGTAGTTAGAAATATGTGTGAATATCACAGAGTTTTGATATGATAATTGGAAAGTCGATCATTGCCTTTCCAGTTGATTATAGAAACAGGAAGGAAATTCTCCTATCTTTCCTAAATACCTACTTCTACTACGTGATAACATCAATCCAACTGTAATTTCCTTTAATGTTTTCATTACAAAGACAAGAAGATGGTTTTCAATAGAATTGAAGTTTATTATTCATAAGGGAAGATAGAATTTGATAGAAATAATCTGCTTATATAGATTAACGACGATAATCTTGAAAATATATAACAAAATAAAACAAAAGGTATTTACTCCAAGCAAAACAGTTGAGATTTACTTGGTTTGCGCACGAAACCGATACTGTCTGGGTACCAAAGCCGAAGTAGGTAGTTTTCGTAGTGGGCCACACTCTGAGCTTCTGACCTAAATGTTTAATCCATAAGACAGTGGAGAAACGTCAGAAGATGCAGTACCATGGTAGTCGGTGACCAACAATCGGTTCATACACCATTTGTTTCCTTAGGATCCTGGAGCCCATATGCACCATTTGTTTGGAATGAGGGTTTTCCAACTCCCCTCGGTAAATCCTTCATATCCCCCAACCAAGTTAAAGCGCCGGACATTCGCTTTCCGTTTTCTCGATTTCGTAAACGACAGTAATCTGGCGAGAAGTCAGTAAGTAGGACTTGTGTGGTTTTGGCTGTATACACGTGGCCACTTGAGAGCGTTTCGAGGGCGAGCTGACTCTCTATACTCTCAGACGTGGGCACTAGTTGATGGTCTTCATTTTCATCATTGATGATGAATTATTCAGTTATGCTGTCATTTAAGAAAAACAAAAAGGCCAGTAAGCTACATTCCACAATAGGTTTGATTGATATTAAGCAAATACTTGTGTAGTTCAACTTGTTCAAATTGTATAGGAATGTTTATTTTGTATATATAAAATTGAGAAGTAAGCAGATCGATCATTTAAACATTACAGTCATATGATTTTCACATCTTTCTTTAATTCCACTTTCTCTTTTCTATTTATTTTCTTCTGTATATTTTATGTTTTCTATCTTTTTGTACTATTAGGGAGTGATGTGGTCGAACGTGTCGACTGCTTCACTTATCTTGGAAGTCTCACCAGCCTTTGTGGTCTGGTGTGTGACGAAATCTCAGCACGGATACAGAAGGCTCGACTAGCTTTTGCCAACTTGAGTCATTTATGGCGTAGGCGAGATATCCGTCTATCAACCAAAGGACGTGTTTACTGCGCAGCAGTTCGTTCCATCCTACTTTATGGCAGTGAAACATGGCCGGTAAGAGTAGAGGATATTCGTAGGTTACTATTATTTGATCATAGGTGTGGTGTCTTCGAAACATTGTTCGTATATCCTGAGACTACCGGATAAGTAGCTCAGGTGTTAGGAAACGGGTACTAGGTAAGGATGGCAAATCGATTGATGAAGTAGTGAAGCTTCATCAGTTGAGATGACTGGGACACGTGCTACGTCTGCCCAACTACCGACTGCCTCGACGTGCGATGATCAGTGGTATGGGAGTAAGTTGGAAGAAAGCTAGGGGCGGCCAGACCAAAACATGGCACAAATTCATGAAGTCACTGACAAGTGGACTGAGTCATGTTGGTAGGTATAGACTACCTGGTCGGGATCGGCGAGACGATAGCAACCGGTGGTTAGAGACCTTGAATGACATGTCTCAAAATCGTTTGAAATGGCACAGGTGCATTCACTCTTTGTGTTCTCCAAAATTCTAATCTCCTGAATGCTCCTTGTCCCTTTTTCCTCTTCCCAAATTTATTTCACTGTATTATACTCCTTGAATAACATCTTCAAACCCTAAAGTTTCCGATTATTGCTTATACTCTTACTACTTCTATTATTAGGGGATTTGAATCGACAACTGCATCTCTGTGCTAATGTGGTGTGGCAACTCGAACTGATGTATGTACGTATGAAGTTCTACATTGTTACTGACTGACTGATTAGTCCATGTTTGGAAGAGAATATTCATGTGTATAAATGATAAAGTTAGGACTTGAAAGTCTGGCGTCGAATTCACTGGTATTACCGAGAGTGTAATGCTCCCGTACGACAAGGGTTTATAATCTTGGGCAGAAAAGTTTTGTTTACTACCTTCACAACAGGAAAGGGGGGAGTATCCTTATGAAAGTAGGAGAATGAAAAATAGACATCTAGCATTTTAACTAGGTTAGTAGATATAGAGGGTCTATCTGGAGGAGTTCCCAAACCAGTGGGATACATGTGCTTCAGAATGTTTAAGGGACGAATGGTGTACAAATCTAGTTTGATCACATACTTAATTGGATTCTACCGTTTAAAGTTGCTCCACTACTGAATGGATTAGACCTGTAGCTCTTGCGTTCCTAAACCTATCCTTTAAGATTACCACCCACTTCAATCCAGTAATCTGAGTAGTTCAACTGCCCCCAAATGCCCTGGTATGGCCGAGAGTGAGGAGAGTCAGCTCTCCATCTCCAAATGCTCTCACATGGCCACGTGTATATAGCCTTTGTTAGGGTAGTCCTGCTCACTGCCTCTTCGTGGCGGGGGTGTTGTCTACGAAATTGAGAGGACGAAAAGCGAATGTCCGACGCTTTAACGGGGTTGGTGGACACGGGAGTCCATCTAGGAGAGTCGATGAACCCTGAATCTAAACCAATGGTGTACATGGGCTTCAGTATCCTGAGGGAACGAATGGGGGTATGAACCAATTAATTGTCACCGACTACCATAGGACTGCATCGCCTTACGTTGCTTCACTGCCTTGTGGATCAGACCTTTAGATTGAAGGCTCCAGGTGTGGCTCCTTAATTAAACCACCTTCTTCTGTTTTGACACCCTGGCAATATCACAGCTCTCACACAAATCAAATGAGTTTGTTGTGGTGCATATGTATCTGGTGCCCCTTTATACCAGTATCTATATGTTCAAATAAATAAATAAAACCACTTCCGTAGGCGCAAATATAGTGATGGTTAATAATGTACAAAATGAACATTATCATGGTTTATCGTTAGTTAAAGTATGGTTGAATACTTTAAACATTTGGTTGAATGTTCAACTAGTGTAGAAATATGACTCACTAATCTATCAAGTAATTCTATCCATTATTTTCAAAAGGGAGTTTTATGGAGATTCTATTAATTTAATAATTGAATTCATAAGTCATTTAAATTTACACCACCATAGAAAATCTAGAAGCACTGGAAAGCCGTTTCGTCCTATTATGGGCCTCCTCAGCAGTGCAAATCCACGATCCCTAATTTTTTTTTAGTTATCGTCTATACATTTACAATTGATTGATCACTGAGTGGTGATCAAGGTCATGTATTTCAGGTCCTTCTTAGTGTAGATTGAATCCTATCGAACAAGTTACAATGTGACCACCAGTCTAGATGACTCGATATTGCGTGCACTGTGTTGAGATAAGCTGGTGGTTAGAGGTAGTCAACAGAAAAACCTGAAACTAGGTTTCGTGCCACTTGGCATTCGTCAGCAAGTTGTGCCTGTAATCTTGAGGGAACTGATGCTCCTTGACGGATTGGATCCTCTATCACATTGTCGATCGTAATTTTAAACTGGGTTTTAAAAAAGAATGTACGGCTCTGAATTTTCTCCCTAATTAATATCATCACTTTAATATTCCATGGTAGTTTGTCCATGATACAAGTACTCTTACTGGACACTGATTATCAGTAAATTCACCTTAGTGAAATTTAGGTTTTATTGTATTGCTATTCTATGACATCTGTAAGTTAGACAATTGGTCATCGGAGTATGTTACTTATTGATGCATGTTGATATCAGTGTTAGAAAGAAAAAAATCGACTTCGCCCTCAGACCTTGAGCTGCTGCTTTTAGTCTCCAATCGACCTGCCTGGAATGGTAGAACCTGAAGGAACATATGTTCCAGCCAGTATAGCTCGGTTGGGTCATCACGATAGGCAAGCCTAACCACCACGTCGAGGTGGCAGCTATGGTCAAATGTATGTTGATATCAGTGTTTGGAAGAAAAAAAATCTAAATTTGTAGTAGGATTCGAGTTTTCAGTCTTTAATTTAAGTAATCGAAATTTTATAGTTTGGTATATATAAAATCTGCTAGGCACATCCATTTAAAAAAGTATATTAGAGCTTGTAAAAACGTAGATATACTAGGTAATCTAATCTGGATGCAAATATTACCAAAAGACACTATAATCAAACTGATATCTTAACTCCCATTCTATATCAATAATACATCATGTTTTCACTTGAATTAATAGTTAAATATTTAGTTGTTATATAGTTTGTTAGTTGAAATATTCATCTTTCAATTACTAAGATACAAGTTCGAATCCGGTTCCTTTTGTTTCTGTTATTACCAATTCTTACACACAAAAATATAACTTAAAATTAAATACATGATCTATTATTAGTACACTATTGATTCATAGTGAAATGGACTTTCAGGATCCTGAGGAAACAAATAGCATATGAACCAATTATTGGTCACCGACTACCATGAAACTGCATCTTCTGACGTTGCTCCACTACCTTATGGATTAAACCTTTAGGTCAGAGGCTCAGAGTGTAGCCCACTACGAAAACCACCTACTTCGTCTTGGGCAACCGGACAGTATCACAGCCCACATGTAAATCAAGTGAATTGTGTGGCGTATATGTATTCGGTGCCGCCTTTCTACCACAATTGAATGAAATGGCCGTCCAGTACTTCCAGGTTTTCCATGGTATTCTAGCTTCAATTGACTCATGATCTCAACCATTGAAATTACTACGATATTCACAAAAACCCCTTCTGATATGAATCAACATATGCTCACTAGTGACCGGCTTCGAGAGGTTTTCCCTGAAGTTCTAGTGAGAAGCAGTGACCAGTGGAGTTCAACCGGGTCAGTTGTGAAGATAGTAACTCACTGATGACAATGGTGGATGTGTCGCTCAATTTTATGGATTAGTTAAAGTTAGACATTAACACCGTTGGATGTCGGCCATCTCAGTGGTCTAGTGGTTAAGCGCTCGCGCGCCAGACTGATAGGTTCTGGTTCCGAATTTCGCAGGGGGCGGTATCGTAGATGCACACTGCGCATAATAGGACCAAATGGCCATCTAGTGCTTCTAGGTTTTCCAATGGTAGTTTAGCTTCAATTAAATTATGATCTCAACCATTGAAATTACTGCCTACAGTTTTTACAATATTGTTCCTTACTGGTTACCTTAACTGTACTAGAATTTGAAGTAAAAACTATCATATATTTTTATGTATTGAATTGGATCTGTGTAGTTTAGTTTTGTTGATTGATGTATATATACAGGCATGTGAAAATGGACGTGGAGCTGTATTATTATCAGTTGTACGTGGTCGAGTATCTGAAGGTATAGATTTTGGTAAGTGTCAGTTTTTTTTCCTTGTATGAAAGGCAGTTTTATACTACCCTGGCTGAGAGATTCTGTGACGATATCTGTTAATTTTGTGAACGGTCCTTACTCGAATACAGTTAATCGAATTAGAGCTTATAATAAACTGTGTCATTGCCTAAATAAATGATAGAGAGTTAAGTAGTGAGATTTACCGACCATATCACTTATATTGAGAGTTTCATCATCTCTGGTGGATTGGTGCTTTAAAAATATCTGAGGATTGATTCTAATAGTCGTTCTAACTTTCACCAACTGGGATCAATTGTGGTGTCGGCAACATATCCGACTGTCAATCAAACGGTTAGTACACTATGGGTAGAAGTTCTCTTTGTTCTTTTTTTACGGCTGAAAAATATATGCTTTAAAAGTAGAGAGCGTTTCAAAGTCACTTTTTACTTGACGGAAAGAAGCAGGCAACATTAAACCTTGTTAGATACAGGTTTCGTGCTAGTAGGCACTCGTCAGCAAGGTATACCTTGAATCTTGACGTAACTAATGCCCACGTGAGAATTTTATCTTGTGTCAACTGGCTTCACAACCAGAAATGTTGCTACAGCTATTCGGGATGCAACTGACTTCCTGTGGGACTGAGATGTATTTACAATCACTAAGTTCTGATCAATGTTATTTTTGACAAGTCTTTCGTAGTGCTGATCAAATTCTGTCGATCAATTTCCATCGTGTTCGCTAGTCTTACTGATTTGACATCGCGTGCACTATAACTAGATATTAGATGGTGATCAGAGGTAGTCGATAGAAGTCCTCAGTCAGTAGAATTCAACTCGCCTTAAGAAGAACTTAACATTGGTCAATACTCAGTGATCAATCAATTGTAAAGCTTATTTTTATTTATTCTTAGATGCCTTCGAAACGTTGTTCGTGTGTTTTCAAATCATTGAGTGATGCACTCCTGATATTAGACACAAAATACCATGCATAATTGGAAAATCAGTTGATGAGACTCTGAATGCTCATTGACTAAGGTGGCTGACTAATGTATTACGTGTACCCAACCACTGTTTCCCTCAATGTACAGTGTTAGGTAGTGTGGGAGTAGTTCAATAGAGTACTATTGCTAAATTATTACTATTAACTGTTGAATGGATTCTTGATTGTTTTGAACATCAACTAATGCAAGTCGGTCGATTTCTGGCTATTCATTGAGTTCACTTGGTATTGTTTGGTTTGTATCTTCCCATTGAGGTTTAAGACTGAAACCGATCGGTCTGTTATTGGCATATGTGCATACTGTGCGTATGCCTCGATATTACATTAATTGAGTTCATTAAACATATAACAACATTTAACATTTTGGTTGTCCAATTGAATAGGATTTGTATACTCATCTCAAACTGATCGTAGTTGAGGTGCTGTTGAAAACCAAAAAGCACTGTAATCTAGACTGTAACAATGGATAGTCATCAGGCTATAAAACAAGTTGGTTGAAGTTTAGATTGTATCACTTGACGCCGATCCAGTGGTTTTACCGGCTAAGCATCCATCGCGACGACAGAAGGTCCTGAGTTTGGTCCCTGGTGTGGTCGTGTGCACGCACTATACCCAACTAAGATAGGTTTGTGACTAACAAACCCCACAAATTTTAGATATCTAGTTCTCATTCAGTCCGATCTTCTCATAAAGGATTTAAAGCCATGATTCTTTCAAGTGGCAAAGTGATTTGCATGAATCTAGTTAAGTTTATGATCAAGAACTGAAAAAGTTGTTCATTCAAATCCGAGCTCCATTCAAATTGTAATCGTTATTTCAAATTTACATGGTGGTTGGAGGAAGTCGACAGGAAACCCTGTCGACTATCTCCAACTACCATCTAATCTCAATATATAGTGCACGCAGTGTCGAGTCACCTAGACTGGTGGCCACATTGCAACATGATCGATAGCATTCGATCTGCACTAATAAGGCCTAGACACCCATGACATTGATCGCCATCTAGTAATCAATCAATTGTGTTCAAATTTACATATCGAACATTTTCACTAAGAGCTTATCATAGAGTTTTCGTTAAAGACTATTAATAGTGAAGTTCAATCATATTTGACATGAAATAAATGTCACCAGTGACAATGGATCGTAGATCCACAATTTTGCTAATTGATTGAAGTTAGAAATGATACCAATTGAATGCGTGCTAACTCAGTAGTCTGAAGGTTAAGTTATTGATCTGAAGACTTGAATATCCGAGGTTTGATCCCTGATTAGATCATGTATACGTACTGTTGAAGAGTTACATACTAGTATGAAACAGTTGTTTTTAATGCTACCTACTTTTCACTAGTTGTTTAACTAAAGTTAATCTATAATATAGAACTATGGAGTTCAACAATCTTCACAACTCTCTCTTTATACTAATTAATTAATATGAAGATTAATTTTTTTTCATTCACACCACCGTCTAAATATATGGATAATCTATTTGATCTGATTAACTAAGTGGAAATCAATGAGATTTTTTGTCCCTTTATTTTACTTAATATGAAACAGTCAATTCATAATTAATAGTTGAATTCATGAGTCGATTAAAGTGAAATCACCATAAAAAATGTGGAAGCACTGAACGACCGTTTCGTCTTAGCATGTAACTCCTCAACAGTGCACACCCACGATATTGCTTGCGGGATACGAACCTAGGACCTATCGGTCTCATGCGCAAACTTTTAACCTCTAGACCACTGAGCTGGTTGGCATCCAGCGGTGTAAATTTCTAACTTCAACCAATTAATTTATTTAATTGCAATTGTATATTGCCCTGGTAAGGCCGAAGGTGAGGAGAGTCAACTCTCCCTCTCCAAATACTCTCACATGGTCACATGTATACAGCCACTACCATACAAGTCCTACTCACTGCCTTCTCGTGGCATCAATGTTGTTTATGAAATTGAGAGGATGAAAACAGAATGTCTGACGTTCTAATCAGGTTGATAGGTATGGAGGATCCACTCAGGGGAAGTTGGAAAACCCTCATTCCAAACAAATGGTGTACATGGGCTCCAGGATCCCGATAGAACAAATGATGTATGAACCGATTGTTGATCACCGACTACCATGTGACTGAATCTCCTTACGTTGCTCCAATGCCTTGTTGATTAGACTTTTATGTGAAAGGCTCCAGTCGTGGGTCCCTAAGAAAACCACCTACTTCGGCTTCGGTCTGAGCATCCAGGTGTTATTACAGTCCACACACAAACCAAGCGACTTGTTTGTCGCATATATATTCAGTGTACCTTTGTACCAATATTTATGTGTTCAAATAATAATACTAATAATAGAATTTTGTAACTAATAATAAGTATGTTCATTTTTATTGGCATAATGAACAACATAATTCTATTCATAATTTAACTGTTCTACTCATATTGTTAATCAATCATGACCATTGACTCTATCAAGTGTCATCGAACATAAATCTTTTTTTTAAAAAAATGTATTATGTAACTTGAAACAATGGTAAATAACTGGTTTGCATTGATTGGATTTTAGCTTATAATGATCTGTGATAAATAAGGAACTCTTTTTTGAGAGTGAGAGTGAAAGATGAAATACTTACGCATGTGACTCTTCGTGGAGTTGTAGCATAGGCCACCCATCAACACTCTACATTCAACCCTATCCTGGTCAAACCTTTCCAGTTCTTTCCATTTATTATTCATCCTTTTCATATCTGCTTTCATTTCCCAGACGTAGTGTGTTCTTCGGTCTTCCTCTTTTCTGCGTTCCTTCAAGATTTCAAGTTAGGGCTTGCCTCATAATGTAGTTTGTTGATTTCCTCAATGTCCTATCCGTTTCTATCGTCCTTTCCTAATTTCCTCAACAGCTTGAAGCTGGTTTATTCTCTTTCACAGTAGGCTGTTGCTGATGATATCCGGTCAACAGACATTGAGTATCTAACGTAGACAATTGTTTAAAAATACTTGTATATTTATGATGATGGTGTAGTAGTTCTTCACGTTTCAGCTCCGTACTGTAGAACTGCCTTGTCGTTCGTATAGAAGATTCTGACTTTGACATTGGTTGACAGTTGTTTTGAGTTCCATATGTTCTTCAACTGTAGGAATGTTTTCCTTGTTTTGCCAATCCTCGCCTTTAAGTCTTCCTTTGATCCTCCTTGTTTATCGATGATGCTTCCCAGGTACACGAAAGATCCCACCTCTTCCAGAACTTCTCCATCAAGTATGACTGAGTTGGTGTTTTCCGTGTTGTATTTGATGATCTTGCTTTTTCCTTTGTGTATATTGGGGCCTACTGATGCAGAGACTGCTTCTACACTAGTTGTCATTATTTAGATTTGTTCGTGTATATGGGATAGGAGGGTCAGGTCATCTTTAAAGTCCAAATCGTTTAATTGATTCTGAGCTATCCATTGTATTCCGTGCTCCCACTCAGATGTCGAGGTCTTTATCATTTCAGTCGACCATCAACAGAAGAAAGAGTAAGGGGGAGAGCAGACAGCTTTGTCTGACTCCGGTCGTTACTTGGAATACATCTGTCAGCTCTAGGTAAATGGTAAAAAAGCTTTTTAAATGAAAAGAATTTACAAGTGAACTGAGTCATGTTGGTAGGTGTAGACTACCTCGTTGGGGACCGCGAGATGATAGCAATCGATGGTTAGAGACCCTGAGTGACATGGCTCAAAATCGTTTGAAATGGTGCAGGTGCATACACTCTTTGTGTTCTCCAAAATTCTAATCTCCTGATTCCTCCTTGTTTCTTTTTTCTTTTTCCAAATTTATTTCACTGGATTATACTCTTTGAATAACATCTTCAAACCCCAATGTTTCTTACCGCCTCTATCACTACGGGATTTGAATCGACAACTTCATCTCTGTGCTAATGTGGTATGGCAACCCGAACTGATGTACGTACGTACGAAGTTCTACGTTGTTACTGACTGACTGAAGAATTTATGAACATATTTATTTAACTGAATTTGAAGAATAACAAGGTCCGAA